ATTGCACTGCATGCCAGATAAAAACAGCGAACCGGTATCCAGGTCGTTTGCATGAAATTTTTCATGACTGTATTGACGTAAACTGTATTATAGATACTATTAAAAGCTGAAGACCGTTAAAAATACACTAAAAACCACACTAAAAACGGGAAAAATGAATAAAAACGGATGAGATAAACTGAACTAGCCTTTACGTGAAAAACTGAAAAAAACCGAATAGTAAGCTGAGGCAAAACCACAGGTAACTTTTAAATTGTGCGAAACTCAAACAAAAGTAATCTACAGAACGTATAGCTCAGAATAGATTCTTTAGATCAGAAATGGTACTTTTGTTGCGTAAGGACACAGCAAAAGTTTGAAAAATGCAAACCACGTTAGGACTAAACTTCCCGTTCGAAAAGCGTGCGAAAACCATAATTCTACAGATTCACAAAAGCTGTGGTTGAGGTATTCCGACTATGAGATCATCATCAAGGATGTCAACCACTCAAATTGAAACCTCTCTGGATTGGGCATAACAAATAATCCTTTGATTTTCTTTTAAGACTGACACAGTGAGACACGAGATATATATGCGCTACATTTCGTCACTCGATTAATGTGACGGCTGGAAGGCTACACGGGCCCTCAAAACGAAGCAAATGGTCTTCTTAGAGGGCCACACTCCGAGCCCTTAACGTAGAGATCTAATCTACAAGGAAGTGGAGCAACGTTAAGAGATGCAGCCTCATAGTGGCCGGTGTGAAACAATAGGTTCATACACTACTTGTCCCATCAGGATCCTGAAGTCCATGTACACCACTGGTTTGAAATTAGGGCTTCTCAACTCCTCGAGGTAGATCCTCCGTATCAGTTCACCAGATAAAGCTCCAGATATTCGCTTTCCGTTTTCTGAATTGAGTAAACAACACTGAAGAAAAGCAGTGAATAGAACTTCTATAGCAGTGGCTGTGTAAGCTTGATCATGTGAAGTAATTTCAAGAAGGAACACAGACTCTCATTATCCTCGATCGTACCACATTATGTAGGGGCACTTATTCAAACCATGTCTTCATCCGCAAAATTATAAGCAGTAATTTTGGCTTTTCTGCATCTATCCCTTTGTACTCTATAATGTCATACTCCAAACTGAGCAATAAAGTGAATATTTTATAGATTCCGACAACCCACAAAACGTACATCAGAATTCCTTCATTATTCGCCATTCAACTGTGTGGAACAGACTCTCAGCAATAATGCACTGCAGTGAGACAATAACGTCGCCATCCCATCCAGAGTTCATAATTAAAAACATAGAAACTTGCATTTCATTTGGTTAAATCAATTGAATTTTCAGACTCATCCCATCTTCACTACATAAATATGACACAGAAAAATTAGCATTTGACGATTATTCCTTGCAACCAAGTAGGGCTTTCATCTCACCATTTGATAATCTTGCTGCTTGAACTCTCATTCTATTATCAATTCTTACCGCGTTAATGAGGTATCGTAAGTGTAGGACTCGTGTCTTTCCAGTGTACGGAAGGAAAATCGACGTGGATAAGGTTTCCTTTCATGCGATCGGTACTGATGCTATCGTTAGTTCCGTTCTTATCGATAACATAGTACTTGGGTTCACACTGAAGAACTTTGAATGGTCTTTCGTGTGCTGTTTCGAGAGGTCGTCTATGTGAGTCGCAACGTACCATAAATGTGTGTACTATATTATAAGTTAGGCTGGAGGAAACATCAGTTGACTGCGGTAGAATGGAAACAGATTTAACTGAACACATTGCGTTTGTAAGCCTGTTCGTCCGTAAGTTTAGAGCCATATTTATTCAAGAAAACGTAGGATCTACGAATTCTCCGGGAAGTCGAAGTGTAGTTCCATAAACGAGATGAGCTGTTGTGTATCCAACGTCAGCATTCACTGAATTATGAATATCAAGTAAGATGGGTGTAAGAGCGTTAGTTGGTGTCCATTTCTTTGATAGGCGTAATCCCTTTTGGGCTTATTGTGTTCCAGAGAAATTCTAGAGTTCTAACACCGAAAACACACTTTGACGTGTGTTCATTATAATTTCATCCAGACGTTTTAAGACTGCTCTTACATGTCGTTCGTGTGGTTGTAAATTGGGATTGGCAATTAACAAATCGTCTATATACCGTTGTGCGAAAAGCATATCTCGAAGTAGGATATCCATGAATCTTTGAAATGTTTGTGTCTCATTCCTCAGGCCGAATGGCATGCATGCAAACTCGAGTTGATTAAAACTAATGTGGTCATCATCCAATGTCGAAAACTTACAGAGCTATTGATTTGGGGGATTAATTTACCGTTACAATGAACGTATTTCAAGGCAAAAACTGTTAAAACTAGCAACCATCGAGTAAATTTGTGCAGATTATGTTTAAGGCCATTTTTTGTCTACCTGTCCAATGACATTAGTTAACACCTCAGTTCCTTAAACCATCACCACAATGAATGGTTCTGCGTTGTTTTGTCCCATTTGCACAAGAGAAAACTGGCAAACTGAGGCTTTCCGAGGGGACCAAGGTAGTACTCGATGACGAGTTAGTGCCTTATATTCTCCAGTGCTTACTGATTATCTGGATTGCGGTCCAGACTTAGAGGTACTTCAACTTACTTTTGAGCCAAAATAATAATTTCGCAAAATCTACGCGTTATACATTAATCGTGAGAGCAACTTAGATCATGACAAAAGTTTTAAGTGAAAACCAGTGATGGTTTACATACATACACCTGACCTCGAAAAGCTATCAAACTGTCATATCCTAAAAGGATTTTGGTGAAGCGCAGTCTATGCAGGTTTTGTTAACAAAAGTGCTGCCCCCGCAATAAATACTGAGCCACACACTTTGTCAATAGACCACATATACTCGTAGACGTATTATTTTGCTCGGATAGTAGGCGATAGTTATAACTCATCTGACATAAACATCTGAAAGGTCGACAACAATCCAGTTCTAAGTGGCATTGGGGAATATATTTTTGGTACCGTCATATGCATATCACACTGACCAAATTATGTGTACAAGACTCCGATTATTTCACTCTACTTATCCAATACAGTGACGTCATATCTGGGCTTCTGTACATGAATTGGATTCCACAGAAACAGATATACATTTGCCTATGTTGCAGAAGTTGATAGATGAACTTTTGACGGACAGACCAAGATGGCTGCCAAAAATGTTGATAAATTATTCACATGACTTCAGTGAGTTAACTTTATTTTTTACTACTCCTTATCAGAGAACACTGTTTGTACACGCGGTTACGAACGACGGTGTCAAAAGTGGTCACATATTTGATAGGGTTAAGTAATGAATCCAATCTCGAGCGGGATCTTATTGATATATGCTTTTCCATCCTAATATGTTTGTTTCCATGATGTTTAAACCGTGTTTGTTCCCTCCAGACTGGCAGATCATATTGTTAGACCGAACACCTGTGTAGCACCCAAAATTTATTGTGTTTAACTATATATTTATTTTTAATTTTATAATTATTTTACAAGAGCAATGTGATGAATTTTCAGGCTTGTCTGAATTTACTCACTTATCGCTTTTATGAGGTAAACTCTTTTTTATGTTGAGAAGTTTGTGTGCCTAAATTAGAACCTCCTGCTCTGCTTGTTCTAAACATGTTAATAATAACATATCACAACCATCTTGAAGCCTTTTTAAATCTTTATACGACAACGGTTAAATATAATACCGAAAAAATCCACTTTCAATATTGTGATGTCTCTGAAGATTTGTAGGTGTTATATGTTTAAAGATGTCACGGATATTCAGGATTTCATAACAATTTCTTCTGTAACATTCCTATAATCGAAGGATAACATGCCCAGCCAAACAATTAGCTATTATTGCAGGAGTTAGATCTAAGCTGGCTAGTAGTTGTAAGGAATTCATACCATGTAGTGCTCAACAGTGATATTTTGCGAATGAGTAACCAAGCGCCTCCAGTTAGGTTGGGTCCAGTAAAAATTATAAGGTCACCACCAATGTCAAAGACATAGAGAACTATTTGTTTTAAGACTTATTTACCGCTGATTGTTCATTCGTTTAGTCCTTGAATAGACTTTCCTTTTTTTCCGCCGTAGGACAAGGAGTTCAACTGGTTTACATCAATTTGGGTCCCGTTTATCACTCAAAAATTTCTAGAACGAATGTTATTCATCATTTTTGGACTCATTACAATTACACTCGGTGGACTAACAATTTGCACGCTAATCCAGATTGATTGATCAAACGTGCATAATAAAAAAGATATAAGCTCACCTTCATGGATTTTCATGTCACATCATTATTTACAGATCATGGTGGGATGCTAAAAGGTTCGCATTTAGCTCTATGATCGGCACCATTGTAGTGGTTTCTTTGCACTCCCATCATTCCTAATGTAGCTGGTTGTTGAAAATAATGTTGAGAGTTCAAGTCCTTGTTAAACCATGTAACAAACATTCGTAGAATATCAATGTAAGCACTATACACCACTTGATTTTCCTGACCACGCTCTTAGGGCCTGGTATTTTACCCTACCATATACACAACGAAGATCTCAGGCCAACGCTGGCCGCACCATAGAGTTGAAGCATCACTGGACGACGAAACATTAATGACTTAATATTTATCCTAGCAATATAAATGACCGTATCGTATAACACTTCTGTCCTCGAAAGAAGTACTCACTGCTTCAACTTCCCGTCCATCACTATAATAAACACCTTGTATCAGCTTCTATCTGTTGCAACATAACTGAGCTACTTTACACTCCTATTCGGTTCATTTACTTAACAGGCTAGTCCTGCATACGGAATGGAAACAATTACACTGCCATGAAACTTGAAACAATCATATTTTCTGTGAACCTTATCAATAAAGATAATAAGTTCATTTTCGTCTTCGATTTCACACAGCATATTAATGTGATTCTATTTGAACAGGAAATGTAGCGGGACCACACAACCGACAAAAGTGAAACAACTAAATAAAAAAACATTTATTGATCAAATTACAAAAACTTATCAATATTTTAAAGGGAATACAAACTTTATACAAATGGAATCCCCTCAAAGGAGGAGAACGTTAAAAATACGTTACTTAGCTCTTTGCATTTGCCGTAACCTATATAAATCCATAGGTACATTACAGCCGAGAGTAGCAGCTGACAAAGGATTTCTTAACTCTGACCCAGAGCCAAGAATTTGACCCCCTAATAAGGCAGCTGCACGTTCATCTTCATCATCATCATCATCGTCATCATCCTCTTCTTCTTCATCTTCAGAGTCGCCAAAGGCATTTAGATTTGTTCGTTTACGTAATTTAGATTGATTAGCCACAGAAGCACGGTTACCATGTCCAGCTAAACTATCTAAAACTATTTGCTGTCGACGTTTACGAGCAGCCAATAAAAGTGGGGCAGCGGAAGTTGCTGTACTAGCCAATTCAATGGATAAAGCTGTACCAGAGTCAATACTTGTAGCTAATTCTTCAGATTCACCTGCAACAACTTCCATATAATCTTGACAGAATGAAGACAAAATAATTGTCAACAGATTTACTTTAACGGGTGAATAATGATAATAGTAATTAAATCCGGTCAAATATGTCATCGAAAAACGTGAATTTAAATGATCACACACGAAAAAGAAGTGAGTCTATATTCGTTTTCAACTATTAAGTAAACAATGGAAGCTCAAGTTAAAAAGAAGTTTAACTGTACAAAAACAGTATTTTCGTAAACATAGTAACATTACGAGACAAAATGACGCTCTTTACACAAATGGTTCGTGGAAATTTTACCACCACGGATTGGAATCTACCTCTATTAGTGCGTTTCCATATACAGTCAGTCAGTAACAACGTGGAACTTCGTACGTACGTACATCAGTTCGAGTTGCCATACCATATACGAAAAAGCATGTATTCATGTCACTTGAACCAAGATTAAATATCTCCACGGAACAGTTATTCAGTCGTGATCGACTTGTGACTTTTTAGTTAGTATCATAACGGATCACCGTTGAACATGAGAAAGTATTTGACTGAACAGACAGGAGGACCATATGAATCCTTCTTAGACACTATGATGTGCCTAAGATCGTCTCATAAACAGCGAAAACTGAAGGTGAAGATAACCAGTGTTGCACCAGCTTCTGAAACAGTAGGCCCAAACATTTAAAAAGGAAAAAGCAAGATCCCTAAATACGATACTGTGAGTGTCAACGAAATCCCACTTGATGACAATGTTCTGGAAGACGCGTAGACTTTTATATATCCGGACAATATAGTTGGTAAACAAAGGCGATCTGATTCAGATGTGGAGGCACAGACTGATAATAGTAAGGGTATTATTCCCACAACTAAAGGACTTCTGGAACTCAGAACAACTGTCAGTCAACATCAAAATCAGAATTTTTCAACACAAACGCAAGACAGTCCTATGGTACGGAACAGAAATTCGGGGAACTAATATAACTATCGTCAAACCGATCCATTGGCCAAACATACTTACCAAGAACCTACTGTGGCAGAGAACTAACCAGCTTTTAGATGAAGAGGAAAATGAGGAAAGACACCAGAGGTGGAAAAGAAATACATTGCAGAAATCACAGAACTCCATTGCGACGTTAGCCCTAACCTAGAATCCTCAAGGGAAAATAAAGAAGTGGCAAACTAAGGAATAGACTGCACCGGGAATTGGATACAGATATTAGAAGAATGAATAGCACTTGACAAACCTGGAAAGGACAGATTTGGTTAGAGAATACTGGTCAAAGGCCTATCCTGCATGAGGGGTAACAGGAATAAGTAAATTGATGCTGCATGTAAATAAGAAAGAGTTCATATGAGATGGTTTCAATAATTTCACAAAATAATACCCACAAAAAAGTTGATTGATTAGCTTGTGAGAGACCTTTACAAAATATGGTGGATATCAATATTTTTTGTCAATAAATAATACATAAACACAATTGATACAATTAATACAACAAAGCTAACTCAATACGGAGTCTCAAACTAGGATAAATAACTGTCCAACGACTTCTGACTTTTAACGGTTTGTAAGCTAAGGCCAGTCTGCTATGTGATATATCAGCATAGGTTTAAACAATGGTAAAATAAAAAAACAGTGGATGAATGATAATTATTAAATAAATTTCCATTAGTTGTAATAATGGATCAACATATTTAAATCCACTTACCATCAGGGATTTCCAATTCTAGGAAATGTTCCAAAAATTTATCTACATCAACAAATGGACCATGAAAACATTGTGGCGGTGGAATTAATTTCAGTAAAGAGGAAGCAGCCGGTGGAGGTGGGAATTCACCACCAGCTACTGGGTGACTTCCAGTACGTGGATAAGCTTTCGGTTTAAATGGTAACATCTGACTGACATCAGGCTGCGGATAAGTTGGCCTTGGGTCAGTTCCATTGATTGTCGAACCTAGAGCATCACCTACTACTACGCCTGCACTACCACCAGAGACACTGGATAGTGTGGATCCTAGAGAAACCCCAGCAGCTCCATGGGAAGAGATCACACCGCACAATATATCATCATATCCTTTGCCAATTCCAGCCAGCTGAAAGCGAGTCAGTTCCTATAAAGTAAATTAAATGGTAATTGTTTTAAATAGTATTCACATCACGCAAAAATTGATGGTATCATCAATTCTAAAAGAAAACAAACAAAATAAACAAGTGAACATGAGCTTACTCGATAACCCAAAGATCTAAGCTCTGAATCTGTACATGGTAATAAATCTAAGAAACGATATCTATCAATTAGAAGTGCGGTCTCTAATCTTGAAAATTCTTTTGAACTATCCAATGCTTGTAAACGTCGTTTTTCCACTTTCAGAATACTAGCCAAATCACCAACCTGTTGAAAAAAAACCCAGTAAAATAATAGTAACAAAAGTAAGAAAGTAATCTAAAAATTAATACATTTCATTTGTTGAGTGCATATATAATACTTTCGGCATTAAGTCTTACTATTTGTGCGAGGACTACTGATACTAACCTATCGTCCAAACTGGAATATTAGGTGTAGTAGGTTCTAAACACGCGATGCACATGTGTCCCAGTGATGATGTACACAGTCAAACTTCAATGAAACATCAATAGCTCCAAACTAAATACATTAGTTTAAAGGTTAAGTGCTTGACGTGAGGCCTGAAGGTCTTGGGTTTGATCTCTAATGGAGCCATGAATGACCACTTCCATTGCACATCTGTGCATTCTATGTTGATTTTTGTTTGTTTGGCTATAACAAAATAAGTGCCCAACGTTTCTCGGTTTCCCATGGTCGTCTAAATGAAATTGATCCACCATGTAGAATTACAAATTCAGCAAACTTCATAACCCGTCTCACTCCCACACAAAAAATTATAATCAGTTGGGAAATGGTTTTATTCCCTTAAATTCAATTACTGCAGATTTTAAAGTAAGTAGGTAACATGAGTAAATTACTTTTTATAACAAGAATATGTAGAACACAAATATTGAATAAAAACGAACGATAGAAAAAAATTATCCATTTACCTGTGATTCAAATTGTAAAAATCTAGCCCATATAAGACGTGCACGTTCTTGTGTAATTTGATTTGATCCTAAAGCTCGTTCAAATAACACTCGTATATTATTATCCTCATTTAAATGTGCCATAAAATCAACATAACACAATACATATTCCGCAATACCACCGAAACGTTTCATTCCTAACTCAAATATTTTATGTCCAATAGTTTTATCCTAATACGATGAAGTTGAAAAGAACAAATAAACAAACAAAAAAAGTTACCAGAAAATAGAAAACAAATAATGAACGTAGGATAAATTAGCAACAGTTCGAAAACTGTTTATACGGGGAAATATATGGGACAAAATATGAGTTCCCATCTTTAATGATTTTACTCTTAAAAAATGTCTCCTATATGCAAATAGATGATACAATTTAATCAACATGTATGAAGGTCATAATTCAGTAGGTGTTGCCATGATGATTTTGAAACATTGGTCTTGGAGATTGTGTCAACCCAGTAGTCTCCATACTAAGCATTGTTTTAGAATAAAGCATAGAAAGATGGCTTGTTAATGGCAGTGCAAAGGGATGAAGCACAGATATGTCAGTACATCACTAAACACTAGATGGATTCTTAAAAATCATGATCCAAATTATTCTTATAATAATAATGAAATTTATTTTTAATAGCCAAATAGTAACATATGCGACCACAAGTTACAGAAACGTTAATTTACAAAATATAGGGTACATCATTCCGATACCCTTTAAAATGCTTTTCATTTGCGACAATATAACTGTCTCATTCCCATTATTTGAAACACCGCCTGAAGTCCTATCAAGACAAGCTTTTTAACTGCAAGTATTTTTAGAACCGTCTGCGTAAACGATTTTCCCAAATTAAGTTCATAAGAATAGTGAATCAGCTATCAGAAAGAACAAAGGATAGCATACATTCAATATTTTCACTAACACAGGAAGTTGATGTTCCCCTTGGCTTTGTATTATACTTCCAGTAGTGATGACTCTCCTTGAGATGTTTGATTCACTTGAAAAGAGCCGTAACTATTTATTCTTCAACTCTATTGAAAAAACCCAACATATTTCATAAACCACCTAGGAGTTTTTCACAAGCTTCAACAAAGGTGTGATGATGAACTGTCGAGTATTTATTGGGGACCACATATACATATACAATAAAATACAAATTTATAAAAGGAGAACAAAAGACACCTACTTTACTACAGAAATATTCCATTAATGCAGCACTACAGTAAACATGATAAGTAATGCGTGAATCATCACGAGCTAGTTTAAACACATATCTAGCAGACATTATGCCTTCAGCTCTCCTGGCGAATCGCATATATTGTATATAAGGCTAGAATATAAATTAAAGAACATCATTCAGATTATACAGTCAACCTGTATTTGTTTTCACAACATAATTAATATACAACTTAAAGCAATTAGTCCCTTTGATAAATTTCGATAATGTAATAAGAAGATGGAGATTATCAGAACTATGTGATATATTAGCGCAATACATTTCGAACAAACTGATCACACATATACTTGTTAAGAGCATTTACATATAAAAATAAAAGGTCAACAGGACTGGAAATGGGGTAAGAGGAGATTAATAATAAAAATAATAATAATTAATAGTAATAATAATAATAACAATAATAGTGATAACAATAATTATTATTTGAACACAATTCAAAACCTTATCACTCTGGATAATAAGTCAATATTACCAAGGTAGGTTTAAGGTAAGAACAAACTGTTTTTGAATACATAAAGGGGGTTTGAATTTTTGTATGGCTCAGGCTTCAATAAACCTTAGTATACGCCCTTTTTCACTTTTATACAATACCACAAAAGCCGAGTTTAGATCAGTCTTATGCCCTGTTTCAATTATATGTTTAGCAATAAAGGATGATGGATGTTTATCCTCTGCTCTTATTGGGTCACTTGATTGTATTTGTTTCTGCAGCCATTTGGGTACATGTTCACTCACCCTAATGTTGAGATCACGATTGCTCTTCCCTATGTATGTGTGACCACACACACATTTAAATTGGTAAACACAGTGGGATGTGACACAATCGTTATCATGTCTTTTAGGTTTTGGATGAAATATGAACCTTGTTCTTTCTTTGACAATTACCTTTTCTGCGCAATACGTTTTATTGATGACTGATTTAAGTCTTTGTTTCAATAACAGGCTATTTGAATCACCTCTGAATGGTAAGGTGATGTAGAAAGGCTTTTTTCCTACCGAGGTTACAGTACGTCTCACTGTACCATGGCCTTTCCATCTATTTTTATATATAAATGCTCTTAACAAGTATATGTGTGATCAGATTGTTCGAAATGTATTGCGCTAATATATCACACAGGTCTGATAATCTCCATCTTCTTATTATATAATATACAACTATGTAGATGACATAATTCGTAAAATTATAAAAATATTAAATATTAGTTAAATAAGCAAAGAACTGATACATATTCACATACCCTCAATTATACCCGACCGTTGCTGCTACCTTGACGTGGTGGTCAGTCTTGCATATCATGATGAACCAATCGAGCTATACTGGCTAGAACAATCGTTCCTCAAAGTCCTACCATGCCACACAGGTCGGTTGAAGAGCGGTAAGACTAAAAGCAACAAAACCGAGATCCGAAGGCGAAGTCGTACTGCTGACTCTACAGAGGTGTGACAGCAGTAAGGTGTTTCCTTCAGACAACCAGCTTGACAGCGATGCTGCCTTCCCAAAAGGAGGGGAGGGGTTAGAAAAGGTCGACCCTAAAAATGCACACCTCGCCTTGTCCCACGGATATCCGTCTCCAGCGGTAAGGTCTCAACAAGTACAGAGCTAACACGAAAATTACTCACAAAAAGTTCGTGTGACCGGCCTCAAGCAGTTGTCCCTTGGGCACTGCGGTCATGGTCTCAAGCCACCAAGACCACCTCTAACCCAATTTCCTTTTCAGGTACCTCCAGCAGAACCCTTCCACGGTGTGGGCAACCGGGAAGTGATAACCGCCCTCATACCTCTAACAGCACTCAAGACCACTGTATTCATAATCAACCTCCCTCTTCAATTTCTATTATTCCTCTTACATCGACTTTCAAATCTAAACTCCCTCTTTTAGCTTCCTCATCAAGTGTCACCACAGCCAACGATTCTAGTGCTCAAAACGCTGTCCCAGGTCTACTGAAACCTCGCTCCAAACTACACATTGGAGCCTTCAACGTACGCACCCTATGTCAAATCGGCCAGCGGACCTCCGTGGCTAAAACCCTAGAATCTCGTATCATTGACGTATGCTGTATCTCCAAAACACGCATACAGGATCCTAGTGTGGTTATTCACTTGATCTCACCTCGGCAAAACGGAGAGCCGACGAGATACACCCTCCGTGCATCTGGCGACCCGACGGCTAGTTCTCGTGGACTGGCAGGTGTAAGCATAGCACTAAGCATGAGGGCGGAACAAGCGCTAGTAGAGTGGATCCCTGTTAACAGTCGTCTTTGCGCGGCTCGGCTAAACGGCTCCGTAAGAACCCGGAATGATAGGGACACACGTCGTTGCCTTTATTTCGTTCCTGCCTCCCACTGACTGCAGTTCGGATGAAGTGAAAGATGAATTTTACAGAAAACTCTCTGAACTTCTTCAAAAAGCTAAACGTTCAGACATAGTACTCGTAGCAGGTGACTTTAATGCCCAGGTAGATAGCTTAAACGAAACAGAAAGATATTTAGGTGGGTATTTTAGTATCCCGGCACAGCGAACAGATAATGGTGATCGTCTGCTGCAACTGTGCTCAGACAATCGTTTATTTTTAACAAACACAAATTTTAAGTATAAGGAGAGACATCGTCTAACATGGCGACCCCCTGCACCAAACCAACGATGGAGTCAAATAGACCATATTGCCATCAGATGGATTGGCCCCAGAGGTCTTTAAGGATGGTGGTCTAGTTTTATCGATTAGATTGACTAATATTTTAGCTAAAATCTGGGAGTTGGACGTTATCCCATCTAACTAGTCACAATCACTAATCGTCCCAATATTTAAGAAAGGGTCAAAATCATCCTGTGACAACCGCAGAGGGATTAGTTTGACTAATATAGTATTTAAAATACTAGTCTCGATAATTATCGGCTTCAGACCTGGTCGTGGATGCATAGACCACACGTTCACCATTCGTCAGGTTCTAGAACACAGGCATACTTATCGGCGTCCGACAATGGTGGTCTTCTTTGACTTAAAAGCAGCGTTTGACTCAATAGACCGAGAGGTTCTGTGGCAGTGTCTGTCATTGAAAGGCGTACCTCAGAAGTACATAAACCTTATGAAGGCTCTTTACTCGAACACTACTAGTCGAGTCAGAGCTTATGGCGAACTGTCATCTGCTTTCGCAACCTCAAGTGGCGTCCGTCAAGGCTGTCCACTTTCTCCATATTTGTTTAACTTCATCATAGACCTCCTGATGGAAATAACACTCTCATCGACTGAATTCTCAGGTATTGATCTCCTACAAGGAGGTCCACTTATTGACTTAGAATACGCAGATGACATAGTTCTGTTTGGTGAAGACACTGATGAAATGCAAAGTCTTTTGGTAGCACTGAGCAACAATGCCAGAATGTTTGGGATGCGCTTCTCTCCCTCTAAATGCAAGTTGTTGCTTCAGGACTGGTCTGCATCAACACCTGAACTAAGGATAGGGGGTGAAGTAGTCGAACGCGTTGACAACTTCACTTATCTTGGAAGTCTGATCAGCCTCAATGGCTTGGTGTCTGACGAAATATCAGCAAGGATTCGAAAAGCTCGTTTGGCTTTTGTCAACTTACGTCACCTATGGCGAAGGCGAGATATCCGTCTATCAATTAAGGGACGAGTATACTGCACGGCAGTTCGTTCCGTTCTACTATACGGCTGCGAAACTTGGCCATTAAGAGTAGAAGATTTTCGTAAGTTACTAGTATTTGACCACAGGTGCCTTAGAAATATTGCTCGCATCTGCTGGGATCACCAGGTAAGTAATAGTGAGGTTAGACGCAGGGTATTAGGAAATGATGGTAAATCAGTTAGTGAACGCTATGCTCGGTTCCTAAGCTATTCTTGAAACCCCCAAGCTAGAACTATACAGCGACCTGAACACGAGAGAGAAGGTGCAAAGTATGCAAACACTTTACTCCAATGTTCTTTTTAATACAGAAAACAGAGGGTTTTTATAATATTCTAAATGTCCTTGGGTTGCTCGAAGATTCTGGAATACTACTAAACACAGTAGCGGTATAACAATCGGCCAATCAGAACCTCTACAGTGACGCTTCACATCCTTGATGTTTTCTGGCTAAACTCCAAGTGAACGCTGATTGGATGAAATGCTTCTTAATGTTTCATGATTCTTGCGTGTCTTTTGCGAGAATTTTTTTGGATCATCCCAACAATCAGTTGATGAGGTTACGAATCTTCATCGACTGAGATGGTTGGGCCACGTGCTGCGTATGCCTGAACACCGATTACCACGACGCGCAATGCTAATCGGTGTTAAGGAAAATTGGAAGAAAGTTAGGGGCGACCAAACCAAAACGTGGCATCAGTCCTTGAAGTCACTAACTTCTGGTCTGAGCCATGTTGGTAGATGCAGACTACTTGGTTGGGGTCCGCGTGACTATCGTAACCAATGGTTGGAGACTCTTGGTGACATGGCTCAGAATCGATCACAATGGCGTCGATGTATACACTCTCTGTCTTCAAACTAAGAGATTAAAATTCTATCTTCCTGTACTATCTCCTTATACACACTCTTTCTTCTATATATTACCACCACTGAATTAACTACTTCTATGAATCCGGTGTTCATCTTGTTGTGCTAATGCGTTATTGCGACTTGGACCGATGCATATATGTGCCTGGTTCTACGTTGCAGCTGAATGACCCTCAATTATAAGTCAGGCATCTTAAGTAAAAACCTTACATGAAGCAGTAACTTAGAGATTGAAAAGCACTTAGCCTTCATCTGGCAAGTGGCAGGTCCGAATACCGGTTTAGTTACTCCTATTTGAGGAGTCAAATGGTGGTATCACAAGTACTAAGCACTTAGCTCAAATCCGAGTAGGTAAACTTATCTTGGTAAGTGAGGTGTATTATTTCCGTACTGCTACGATTATACTAAATATTCATACATAGCCACAATAATAAATGACTTCATTCATTAGCAAGATAATATATATCATTTAACTGAGGAAATGCATTCACTCTTTCCTAAGACAAAAGGATGATTCAAAAGTAAGACGAAATTCCATTTACTAGAATAGGTCAACCTCAATTTCAGAATAATTTGTTCACATTATCTGTACTGACTGATTATCAATTACACTAACAGCATGTTCTAAGTGAATACCTGTTACCTTTAGTTGCTGCTTAACAGATGAATTGAAGTACAAAAATATATCAGCTGAAAACGTTTTTCAATTTTTTTTATTTGATGTGAGTTTATGAAAAACTCCAACACACTGATTACATCACGGCTATACTGAAAAATACACTACTCAATTTCCGAAAAGTATTTACACAAATTATAAAGTCTGAAAATATTCTGTAAATTATTTTAAGCAGTTCACTAACGTGCAGTTACCAGTGATAATTCGAGAAAAAAGCTCAACTGGAATGTGGAGAAGGTTGCAAATAGATTTTGATAACAGTGCAATAGCAAACACAACATGTTATGGTAGCTTTAATTAGAAACTGTAAACGTTTACAGAAATGCGAGAGAGTGAATGGGAATTTCATAAATGTAAAGAACTTAACTAATGTTCTCTGTAGTGAATAATATCAAAAATTATACTGCTTAATCATGATAATTCACTGCCGACTTTATAACAAAATAAACTTAAAAAATAAATAAAAAACCAAAACGAAAAATGTCTCACTCACTAGTGTCGGATCAATATTCTCCAATGAAACTAACTTCTTGTAAATAGAATGAACTTTTGCATACTTACATCGACCTTCTTCATAATCGGCATAAGCAAAATATAACATCATATTTGTTTTGAGTAAAGCAATAGCTCGTTCATACATTGCCGCTGTATCGTTGGCAAATTGTCTAGCTGTTGTTTGATCCTTTTACAAAAAAAATTGGAAACAAATAGAAAATTTATCAGAAAACACAAAACGTCTTCATAAAATACAACGAAATTGTTTGATGACCACGACTCTTCCATATATATATATATATATATAATTAATATTTTGAGTAAGGCTGAAATTTTACTACGTAACGGTCCGTAGGACCAAATAGTAATACTAGACCCTTTACACATACATAAAAAGTGAGACATGGTAGAGTGTGTACGCCAATACTTGGCAAATAAGTAACAATAAAACTGTGTAAACTATACTAGAATAAAACCATAAAATTGATTTGTTTAGTCACAATAAACTGAACAAATTAGTTACTGAATGATTGGTGAATATTACACACAAAGGATATAAGTACGTACTCCCTTTTCAACCAAAATTTTGCTTGCATGATCCAAGTAGCTAGCAGCTTCATACCATATATCTGGATGATGTCCAAGACATAAAAGACATTGTTCATAGGCAAACATTACTGAAAGTAAACAAAGATATATAATGAAACTTTTATGCAACTAATAATGACATTTTTAAAAGTTGGCTTTCCGATGACGTAGCAGTACGGTAGTTACCAAGCGGCAATAGTTATAACACAACATCTCAGTGTCTATTAAATCATAACTCCTAGTGTAGCTACAAGATCAAATGATTATTCAGAGCTCATACACCAACCTGTGCTTGAGTGCATAACAAAATTACTGAAACATTCAGTTAGGTTTCCGCTTATTAGCACGTTGACAGGGTTTGAAGACGTTATTCAAAGAGTATCATCCAGAGAAATAAATTTGGAAAGAGCAAAAAAGGGACATGAAGAATTCAGAAGATTAGAATTTGGGAGAACATAAAGAGTGGATGCACCTGCATCATAAGCAAACGATTTTGAGCCATGTCATTCAAGATCTCTAACCATCGGTTGCTATCGTCTCGCGGATCTCAACCAGGTAGCCTACACCTAGCAACGTGGCTCAGTTCACTTGTCAGTGACTGCATGGCTTTGTGCCATATTTTGGTCTGGCCGTCCCTAGCTTTCTTCCAACCTACTCGCACACCATAAAACACCGCACGTCGGGGCAGTTGGAGGTTGGGCATACATAACACGTGTCCTAGCCATCTCAACTGATGAAGTTCCACTACTTCATCAATTGACTTGCCATCCTTACCTAGTACCCGTTTCTTAACAACTGCATTACTTACTCAGTGGTCCCAGGATATAAGAGCAATGCTTCGAAGAAGCACAACTGAATTCATTTCCCATCATCCTCCGTATTTTGTACAACCCTACTACTGATTGATTCCATCCCCTCAAAACGTAATATGCTAATTTTCACACAAAAACTATTGCACAAGAACAGATTATCAAAGTGGTTAGGAGTAATGAGCTGGTAAAAGCCTTTCAGAATAAGGAAATACCAATATATATAATCTTTTCAGCCTAATTTTTTATGTCCCAGTCATTCTTTAGCAAGAGTCACTATAGATTATGAATAGTAATAACCATATATAATCGTTTGAAAAATAAATGATTTCCTAGTGTGAATTCGTGACTGAGAACATAGAGTTTAGGGCCTTTGAAGAACACTGGCTAAGTTCCCTGATCGGACACTAATGACTGAAAATCTAATTGTAAATGAAGTTCTTAACCTCACAAACAAGCACTACTTTTACTAAAAGTTTTCTGCTACTTTTAAAAACACTACCAACCTCTTTTTGTGACTGTGATGATATCTTCTGTCTTCAATGGATTATCTTTTTCCCATTGAATATACTTCTTCCATAGTTCGACCTTAAAAGCAAAGTACAAAGCAGTGTAGGAATTTAGATAGAACCAGAGTGTTGATTTCAAGCGAATTAAAAACGTATGGCCAAGACTGATTACACACAGAGCAACTACTGGAAACTTAATTTTCAAAGTGGTCGGAGGAAATTTCGTTCGAAAAACTTATCCGATAAACTGAAAGTGTTATGACTGGTGGTCGACTGTTATGACTGCGTCACCAATTGTTGTATCTGGCCGTCGCTAATTGTTACATCGGAATCGCTTATCACCAATACTTGTAAAATGAAGAACCACTGCAATTCCCCAGACGCGAAAGTAAGAACACAATGAATGGTACAAGTGAAGGTTTATTAAACCCAAAACACGACGACCACAATAGTCGAAAATACATTCATTTATATATTAATTTGTACACCCATTTTGATTATTAATTAGTACGAAATCACATATATCAAAACACTTACAGTTATAACAAATCAGATGGTATGGCCGAGAGTGGGGTGGGTTCGCCCTCCCTCTCGAAATACTCTCACACGGCCACGCGTATATAGCCTCTGCCAGAGAAGTCCTACTCACTACCTTCTCGTGACGGGGGTGTTGTTTACGAAAATGAGAGGACGAAAAGCGAACGTCCGGCGCTATAACCGGATCCCAATTCAATGGTGCATATGGGCTCCAGTATCCTGTGGGAACAAATGGCGTATGAACCAACTTTTGGTCACCGGCTTCCATGGGACTGCATCTCCTCACGATGCTCCACTGCCTTGTGGACTAGACCTCTAGGTCAAAGGCTCGGGGTGTGGCCCCCTAAGAAAACCACCTGCTTCGGTCTGGGCACCCGGGCAGTATCCCAGCCTACGCACTAAAACATGATGAACTATTTACTTATGGAAAATACTCTTTTCGCTCCGATTTACACTGAAATGACTCGCACCACTATTATTATTATTATTATTATTTACCACGTCATCTATTCACTCTCTTTTATTTCCACTCTGTCCATCCTTATTTTTCGACTTATACAACAGCTCGCCTATGGTGAAAATTCGGCTGTATCTAAACGCTCTCGAGTCACTGCCTGATTAGAAATTGTATGTTGCCACCGAATACGAGTACTGAAGCAGTTTTTCTGAAACGACGTACATCATTCAAACTGGCTGCCTTCAACGTTCGCACACTTATGCAGGTCGGACAACAGATAGGGCTGGCTATGTCTTTGGAAAGTCTTAATATTGATGTGTGTTGTTTATCCGAGACCCGTATTCAAGACTCTGGTGAAGTACTACAAATTCGCTCTCCATCTGTCACTTCAAAAAGCTTGTTTTATGTGCGTTTATCCGGGGACCCTGTGGCATCTTCGTCTGGTCTTGCTGGCGTTGGTGTCACACTAAGCGCTAGAGCTGAGGCAGCACTAATCGACTGGATCCCCATCAACGGTCGGTTATGTGCCGTTAGATTAGAAAGTTCCATCAAAGTGAGAAGAAATCGTCATCTCAGCCTATGCCCCGACAGATTGCAGCCCGGATGCAATCAAGGATGAGTTCTACCACCAGTTAACTGTTCTTCTCCAGAAAGTGCGTTCGACAGATATTGTAGTACTAGCCGGAGACTTGAATGCTCAGGTCGGGCGTCTAGGCACAGAAGAGAGTCGTTTAGGTGGCCGATGGGGACTCGTTGGTCGCAGGAAAGATAACGGGGAACGTCTACTGCAACTATGCACAGACCACAACCTGTTTCTGGCTAGCATTAACTTTCGGCACAGTCATCGCCGATGTGCCACCTGGCGTTCCCCTTCCGCATCTCTAGCCTGGACTCACATTGATCACATCGCGATCAGCTACTGCTGGTGTGGTTGTGTACAAGACTGCCGCTCCTTTTGGAATACCTATCTGGAATCTGATCATGCTCTAGTCTGCGCCAATCTTACCTTACTTTTCAGTGGACAACGAAGTGACTGCTACCAAAGGATTGATGTTAACAAGCTGGTTGCAACTTCTGTTGCTAGTAAGTACCGAACCGAGCTAGCTTCTAGGCTAGCTATCATTACACCGAAAAGTACAAATGAGCATTGGTTGCAATTGCATGACGCCATGAAAATGGCGGGTACAGTCAGTTGTGGGTTCGCGAAACGTCCCGCTTACAAGCACTGGGTTTTTTCTGGTTCCTTACAACTGATTGAAGCCCGTCGGTCTACTCCGGGTGGCCGTGAGTTGGACCACAGACGAAGGATGTTACATAACGAAATCGGGCAAAGCTTGAGTAAGGACCGAGAAGCCTGGTGGTCGGAGCGTGCTAATGAGCTGGAAGCAGCAGCTGCATCTGGTAATTACCGGAAGCTCTTCCAACTCATCCGAGCCACCGGCAGCAAGAAGTCCGGTGTGAGCGAAACAATCTGCGAAGATGACGGGATGTCAGTCACTAACATCTATCGACGTCCTGGATGATGGGCAGAGTTTTTCGAGGAGCGATTCGATTGGTCTACTGCCCCGGCAACATCGGTCAGACTGTCCCGACACCCATGGCCGGTGACGACTGATCCACCAAATGAGGCGGAAGTCCGCAAGGAACTCCAACTCTTGAAACGTTACAAATCACCGGGCCCAGACGACTTACCTCTGGCTCTTTTTAAAGATGGTGGTGACTCACTGACTAAGGGACTGACGACGTTGTTTGCAAAGGTCTGGGAACTAGAGAGTGTACCAACGTCATGGAATGAGTCGATAGTTGTCCCTATCTTTAAAAAGGGTTCACGTCGTTCCTGTAACAACTATCGGGGGATAAGTCTACTTCCGATCGCGTCCAAACTATTGGCTTCCGTCATACTTCGTAGGTTGCTCAAAACCCGAGAAGGATTGACTCGCGAGGAGCAGGCTGGGTTTCATTCCGGTCGAGGATGTATTGATCACATCTTCACCCTCCGCCAAATGTTAGAACACCGCCATACTTATCAAAGGCCAACAATCGTAGTGTTTCTTGATATCAGGGCTGCCTTCGATTCGTTGGACAGAACTGTTCTCTGAGATTGTCTATTGAAGAAGGGTGTGTCTGAAAAGTTTATTAACGTCCTAAAAGCCCTATACACAAACACCTCAGGCAGAGTGAGGGCATACAACCACCTTTCTCCACTATTCCATTCGAGCAGTGGGGTTAGGCAGGGTTGCCCAATCTCACCATTCCTCTTCAACTTTGCCATCGATGACATTCTGGAAACAGCTCTGATGGATGTAAGTAATGGTGGTGTGGATCTGTTGCCTGGAGAAAGACTTCTCGACCTTGAGTATGCGGATGATATTGTCTTACTGTGCGAGAATGCCCAAGCTATGCAATCCGCACTTAATCAGTTGGCAATCAATGTCCGTAGGTATGTTATGTGCTTTGCACCCTCGAAGTGCAAAGCACTTCTACAAGACTGGCAGGATTCTAATGCTGTACTCACTCTGGATGGTGAGCAGATAGAAGTGGTCGAGAAGTTCGTGCATCTGGGTATCTGCATAAGTGCTGGTGGTGGCGTGAGTGATGAGATCAATGCACGTATAGTGAAAGCCAGAGCGGCTTATGCCAATCTGGGCCACCTTTCGCGCCTTCGTGATGTTAGTCTGGCTGTAAAAGGTTGGATCTACAACGCGACGGTGAGAGCAGTTTTGCTCTATGCTTGTGAAACCTGGCCTCTCCGAGTTGAGGATGTTAGACGACTCTCTGTGTTCGATCATCGCTGTCTCCGAAGGATTGCTAACATCCAGTGGCAACACCATGTTAGTAATGTAGAGGTTCGGCATCGTGTGTTCGGGCACAGAGACGATAATGAAATTGGTGTCACCATCTTGAAACACCGACTTCGGTGGCTTGGACATGTTCTACGAATGTCGTCCCAGAGAATTCCACGTCGTGCACTATTTGCCGACCCTGGGACTGGTTGGAAAAAGCAGAGAGGTGGTCAGTGTATGACATGGTGTCGTGGTACGAAAGAAAGCTGCAAAGGGCTAGCTTCTGTTGGTCCTTCACGACTCCCTGGTTGGGGTCCGAGAGATGGTGTAACACAGTGGCTAGAGAAGTTATCAGATATGGCTCAGAATAGAAGCCAGTGGCGATCGTGCTGTAACCTTCTTTTACTTTCTTCATAAAAAGTGGCTGTATCCTCCTTAAATGTAAGATTTCTTCTGAGTGTACCTTTTCGTCTCCCCCCATTATTGTACTTTTTTTATTTTATAATCCCGTACGTTCCTTACTTTTTTCCCTTCTTAAATTCTCATTGTTTTGTGTGGCGCATATATATTTGGTGCCCCCTTGTACCAATATTTATGTGTTCAAATAAATAAATAAATATTTTATGTTAACTTAATACAAGAATATCGTATGTTATACAGAATAAAATATCATAGAGGAAAACAAAACCGAATGCTATACTGATTAACTATCGCAGTGAATTAAAACGGAAGTAATGTTGGACAAAAATCATAATGAGTAGAAGAATGTAATCTGTTATGTCCTGATAAGCATAATGAATGGTAACTTTTGGGATCTATTTATGGACCAATAATACGCGTATATTTTTATCGTATAATTGTTAAATAACTAAACTGTTCATATTCATGTCCCTCTTATTATGATTTTTATTTTGACCTATGATCTATTATTATACGATCTACCATTCTTGAATTATGCCCTGTCTATTAATTACTACCTCCCTCATTCACAGCCACATTTGGCTAATTCTTGTACAAATGTCGTTTCATACTTTATGGTACGGTGTGGTCTGTCTGGTTGATATATAAACCCAGTACATCTTGAACAAATGATTCATATCGCAGACGCTGAGATTGATGTTCTGGTCCGATCGATAAGTCACTGCTCTCTAATTGGCGGTATTATTACGTTATCCATTAACGGGGCACTCAGGCCACAAGTTATAATATAGTCTTGACTTTTCATCTTGTCATATCAGATAGATTTAATACAAGTGCATTTACTTTGAAACGACATAAGGTAATAAATAAATTCTTGCTTTATTTTAAGACTCATATTGCAAACAAATTTTTCATACAGGTTAGTTAAAATAGACCCTCCAAATACACGGCCTATGAACGAGCGTATTCAAAATAAGAACTCATGAGTGTTTTGGTGAATTTATTACTTCTAATAGTTAAAAACGATCAAATATTTTCACTGATAAATTAGTACGGGTCAAGTTATTGGTTAAGTAATCGAAGACAACTGCTTTGAAGTATATATAATGAAGAGAAAAGCCGATACAACTATTTCATGTAACCTCTATTATACAAGTAGAGTAACAATAAGATAGGTTATTCAGCCTGATAGATTAATGTTATTCCGCTCATTTATATTGACATCATGCATTTGAGTGGGGACATAAGCTACGCAGACAAATAGGAACTGTAAACCAGTGAAAGCATGACTAATTCTTATGTATATTGGTCTTAGTAGTAAAAAAGTAAGCCAAAACTAACTTGCAGAGTAGGGTTCAAGTCTGTGAACAAATAGTCAAGTCCTTTCACCATTAAGGAACCATAAACGTCATAGTGAAGTCTTGCAGTAAATACCATATGGTGATGTGGTAGCTTAGTAGTTATGGCGTTCAACCTTTGGTCTCAGGTTCGAACCCCGTTTGATCTGATTTAGTCTGAGCAACCAGGTAGTATTTTTACCCCTCCAGATGTGGCTGTTACACAAATAACAGGTGGATGAGTTAATTAAAATTAGAACATACCATATGAACTGACCTGTTTAGCTTCATATGGTGTATTTTGGGGTGGCACTGACGGCATAGTCCTGGACAGTCCTTTTGTAATAACTTCATATTCTTTAGCTACACGACGTGCGTTCATGTAGTCCCGACTACGTTCTTCGGTGAACTTTTTCGCGATAAGAGGATTGATTGAGTTTTCATACATGCAATAATCACGCCAAATAGTTTCGATACCAAGCATAGGAGTAACAATTGCACGTTGGTACACACGTCTAGTTGCAGTTATTTTTTGACTTTCTGCATATGAACCTTGAACTTGACTATACAAAAATCAGAGGAAATATAACAACTTCCTGTTCGCAGTTATGCTATACTTTTCACAACTACCCAGTCAAGATGAAGTCTCGTGAAATTAGGGTGAAATGAATTAATTATAGTATACTTAACACGCAGTTTATTAAACAACTGACCATAAATATGTATTACTAATCCGCTGAATTAACATCTAGGCTATTTGAATTTTTGCTAACATCTAGATTCCCAATGATTGTATCCACAGTACTAACCCTTGATTCGAATCAAGTGATATTCCTATAAATAATCGACTATATGTGCATTGGCATTCGTTTTTTCAACTATACATGAGAGGATGAGTTGCATAAAATATATGTCCAACAGAATCATGTCAATCCATTGATTTACATCAAAAGACACAGGAATGGGATATCTGAAAAAGAAACTCAATAAAACTCACGACAGAAACGTGTAAGATCGGTAGCATCCCAACAAAACCTATTTGTACTGAACCTAGACAACCTTCAAGCTCTTTCAGAGGAGAGTAATGAGACGGTGTATAAATAGCCTAAATGATGAAACTTACAAATTAAGGGATAAAACTACTCTAGAAAACCTTAAATTATCGACCCGTATCCTAAATTAAGGGGATCAAAATATGCAGCTATCTAAAGACATAGCTCGATGGTTTCTGGGACCAAGACAGATAGACTTTGTACTTTTCAGTAGTCGATTAACTGTATCGAAACCCTAAATTTTTCATTTGAAAAAACCTCATTATGACACACAAGACACTAAGAACTGAAAACTTCGACCTAAAACGTCTACAGTTGCTCGAACTAGACTAGAAATTTCAGTCAGACCGACTGTATGTTGTTTTCCAAACTAGAAAAGA